GTACTTTAATTCATATTCAGTCTAAAGCCATAAAGTATTATTAGACTTTGAATTGTCATTAAGACATTGGAAGTTTCTCTTTGAATATTCCTTAAATTTTATAAATACCTTTGAGTATTTCGAAAGCTCTATCAAAATGGTAACAGTATATAAATCAGATAATAATAACTTACTTTCACAATTCAAAAACTCTTTTTGATAAATATCTAATTATTTAAATTCTATTATTCAAAATTATACAATACAAAAATTTCTTTATATGATCTAGATATTGAAATATTAATTTTTTATTTGAATTTTTCTGAATACTTAATGTAAAAGATGACAAAAATTCCTTATCTAGAATATTTTACTTAACTAAATTATATTATTTTGAAAAATTATATATACTTAATGAGTATTATAAATTATTTTTGAATTTTTTTTATGAAGAGTAATAAGAATATCTATTTTAGTCTCAAAATTTTATTTATATTTCAAGAAATTGACTTTATTTATACTTTTTCATTCCTTTTTCTAGTAATTATGAATATATTTTATTTTAGAACACTGATCATTTTTTTTGATAATTTACTAATTCTTATTAATAACTTTTTTTATGTTTTAATAGAATTCTCTTTGAAGATAAATCAAAAAAATGTATCATATAGTGAGAGACAGTATAAATTATCTATATTTTTTTTGAGTTATCAAATTTTAATTTATTATTAAAACAAAAATCAATTATATAGTTATAATTAGTTTAAAAGTATATTTATATTATTTATAATCTCTTCATTAATATTTCTATATGACTTATATTTTTTAACTGCATATTTTGTAGCTTTATCTATTAATCCATGTTGATATAAATTTATCCATCTAAATAATAATCTTGCAAAAACATGAATTGTTTCTAATAAAATAGAATCAAATGCTTTTGTAAATATTTTTATTAATTTTGATAATGAATACTCACAATTTGCACATGTATATTTTTTTGCTGCATTTCAAAACATTTCGATATAATTAAATTCTATATGAAATATAACCTGAAAAATAAAATTACCTTTTAGTATTAAGAAAAATTAAATTAAGTTATATTAAATTATCTTATATTCTTGCATTTCAATTATATATTGAATTCTATTATTTTGTGCCAAAAAATCTGGTTGGTTTGCTATTAATCGTTGAGCACAACAATTAATAATATTTGAATCTGACTTCTTTTTTTTTGCATGCATTACAATCCAATATTATTCCATCACGCCATAATTCTCTTTCACTAAGAATTCATTAAATTCCCTTTGGTTAACCACAAAGATTAATGTTTGTTTTTGTTTTTTTATTATAGATGATATAATTATAATCAATAATCATTAATTGTTCCATATTATTGTATTATGCATCTTAGATACTGATCCTTCTGAACTTAGATTTATTTTTAATGCAACTAATGCATCTTCAGCAAAAGCTATATGAGAGGTAGCATTATCAAAGGCAAAAACACCAATACATTCTGAATGTGTTCATTCAAAAATATTTATTGCATGTTCAACTTGCTCAACATGTTTGGTACTATTCCAATATTCATTACGATTAGCTCCTAAAGTTATTATAATTCTTGCTTCTCCTAAATTATCTTTAAGTGGACCAATTGTTTCAGTCAAAAAATCGCTCACATATATGTCTTGACCTTGTTCTTTTTTGCACAAAGGATGTTCATCTTCTGGGTCCCACACAGCACGAGGTTCATTATAGGTATAAAAAACTAACTCATCATGAGTTATTCAAATATGTTCTTTCTCCTCTTCAACCAGAGTCAGAAAAGTTTATATTTTACAATCCTTGTCAAGCCATTTAGACATCAAGTGATCAAGCTCTGCAACTTCTTGCAGAAATTTTTCACGGTAAATGACAATATCAGGTCATTCATGACCATCAACATAAATACCTTTTTGATAACGCTGAAAATGGGACAGAGAGTTCAGATAAAAATGATTTGCACTGACTCAATATTAATATAAGAGAGAATATTCTCCTCAAAGTGTTTCTTAACTATAGAATTTATTTTGAATTTTTGGGAACGAAGATAGGTACTTATTTGAAGTGAGACAAATTCGTTATATAAAAGACTCTTTGAAGGAAACTTTCCTTGCAGACTTGGTGGGATAAATTGATCTTTTTATTAAAAAAAATTAAATTTAAACACACTTAAAAAAAATAAAGAGCAAAATATACGTTTCAAACAAATATTTGCCCATTTAATCTTGCACGCCACACACCACCATTAAATATATTCGAAACTGTTTGGCTTGCTTTTATTTTCTTTTGCCATTCAATATAAGTCAAAGGAAATACAAGACGGCAGTATATCGGACCTTTTGGATATTAGAGAATAATTCTTTTTGGATTACTATTTCAACAAAGTCAATAGCCTCGTGGATTATCTTTTCATGTTCATGAGTAGCATTTTCAACGTCAGCATCAGCACTCATCACTTTTCTCATTCTCGTCATTTTTATCATTGAAAAAAAAACTGTGAAAGCAATACAGTTCCTACTGCTGCTTCTCATAGAGTTTGTCTTTTTCGTCATTTTGTGCATCCTGAGTCTCCTCTATAACAAAAAGGACGCATTTGTTTTTTCAAAGCTTTTTTCAAATGCAGATCAATAATTGAGCGTGCACATTCATCGTTGTTCAGCTCCACATCGTCAACTTCAAGCACTTCATTATCAGAGTTAAATTGATTCACTGAGTCTGAATTATCACTTTCATGCTCCTCACTTGATTCCAGATCAACAAGATTAGTGACTGAGAGCATTACTTGCCGAGTGGTGTGTGCATGCATAGCGTTTGCACGAAGTTATTGCCTCCTTTTTGATGGTTTTGTCATAATTATGACCAAAGATAGGGATGATGATTTTTCCTGTGCGCTATTCAAAAATTACGTGTTATGAGCCAGTATGTTTTACATTAATTATATGAAATTACGCGAATCAAAATGCAATGTTTCCCAATATTACTCTTTTGATTTCAATTGATTGTAATGTGTTTATAATCGTAAAAATCTTTTTTCTATATATTTTTTTTCAAAAAAGAAAATCATAAAATGTAAAGGTAAATACTTAAACAAGCTCAATCGAATACTCCATTAAAATACATGGTCACTAAACAAAAGGATATTATACTTCAAAAAACTTTGTTCAATACTCTTCTTACGACATAATAATTAACATATACATATTTATATTTTGTAGCACAAAAACTATCGAACGATTTTTACCCGTTGGTTATGATATGACCCGATCGGGAAAAAAGGAAAAATTTACTGTATCACTCCTCCTTCCTGAGTTATATCAGTTGGCATGATGTCACTAAAGTTGATGTTTTATGCTGTCCCCCACTGTATCAGCTAAGACGCGGATTAGACACTAAAGCGTATGCTTTTAGCGATAGAAGTTGCCTATTGTTATTTGAAGAGTAATAAATTGCGTTGGGCAAATTTATATGACTTGTAATATGGTATTTTAACGACTTATCATGGTTTATTAAACGACCGGCATCGGGAACGCAAACATCTATATATCAATCTTGGAAAGGGGTCAATACTACAAGCCTTTGCATACATACATAATCTCGCTCGAGAAGACCCTTTCAGTCTATTTTTCTCACTACGATCAGACGAAAGTGTAAATTTTAAATTCTCCTATTTCAAAATCGAGAGATACTACAAATCAATTTATAAAACAAGATTCTATGCAGGACGTTAAAATTTATATTAAAATGCTAGTTCAATAGTCTCAATCTTGCTGAAGATATGTGCTATGGATGTTTGTAGAATCTTCTCACGGGAAGACATTGCTGTAAGTTTCGTGATATTTCCAAACATCCAGAATACCGAGGAGAATTAATGAATGGGGTAGAAAGTTTGTTGAATGAGTTATAAAGCAAAAAACATTCGTTTTTATTAATCTATCCCAAAGTAGTTATTGACGTCCATAATTCTGGCAAGAATTATGCAATCAGAAGAATCAGATGAGAGATTAGTCATAACGAGAAATTTTTTCTCAAACACGTCTTGGACTTTTACCTACTTACTTGTCCCACTTCCCCACCCTCCCACTTTTTTGATGCTATCGCGACGGCTTGGATACTCTTCTTACAGACCAAAGACCGCGTTTCCTTTTTCTTTCAAGGCTTCTTCTGTTTCTTTTGCGAGTAAAAGTAGTCTATCACAACAACGACAACGACAGTGTTATTACACCCATGGTAGTAGTAGTAAAAATGCTGGCTTAATTGATCATAGTGGTGGTTTAAAAAATAGAGCGCGACTTCAAGCATTTTTTGGAGAAACTCTTAAGAATAATTTTAATGGCAATTATCGCGTTGTTTTTTACACGCATCGTCGACGTTATGTTACAAAAAAAGCTTCAACCTCGAAAAAAGAAGCTACCCCTACAAAAAATTCTAAGAGTACCTTGAAAACCGAAGTTAAATCTAGGAGAACAAAAGAAAAAAAAACTCCAGAGAAACTTGTTACTGAAAGTGTTGAGAGCAAAGCAGACGATACAAAACACGATCTGAATAAAAGTGATACTAAATCAGATGATTCAACAAATACCGTGGCTGATGTCAAGGAAACTTCAATTCCACCTTCTCCAGTAGGAAAGAGTACATCAAATGAGGTCGAAAATATCGCCGAAGAAAAGTCGGATGCAACAAACGAAGGAGACGCGAATTCGAATCATCAAATTAAAAGTTCAGCTAAAGTTGATTCAGTGTTAGAGAATAACAACATTGATTCTAATCCACAGAATTATTCTGCCAAGAATAATTCAAATCACAAAGAATTTATTTGCGAAGCAAATGGAAGCAAATCCAGTACAATGGATCATCCAACTACCAAAACAGAGATATCGATCGATGATACCACAAAAGGAAGCCAATTAAGCATCGGTTCAACTCAGAATTCCTCCATTAAAAATGAATCAAATAATGATAATATTGCAGGTGAGCATGAACTTACATCTATTGATGATTCATCGGAAAATAATGTATCCTCGAAAGTATTCCCAAGTGCTGAGACTAAACCAAGTGAAATAATCAATATCGATACAAAAAAGATAGAATCAAATCAGGACTCGGTAGGAAATCGCATATACTTGAATGAAAGCCAATTAGCAGAAATTATGGGACAATTTCGCCAATTAAATGAACATTTTCGCCAATTAAATGAAAATCTGGCTAGTTATTTTTCTCTATATATTGATGTAATTCACACACGTTCACAAGCCATGTTAGACGTGACAAAAGTAGAGATTTCAAAACGGAATAAATCAATAGCAAGCTCAGCCTCATCAACATCTCGACAGGTGCGTGAATTCTACGAGCAACCAAGGGAATTCAAATGTATGATTTTTTTCGTAGTCTGCTCGTATCATTTATTAATAGGATGTTTGGTCTAATACATAAAAGTCTTCGAATACAGGAAATAAATGAAGACCTTGACATCTCTAAATTCAAAGAGTTCTACGAAGAAATCAATGCAACGGAAGGAACACTAAAAAAATCTGAAATAATGCTTGATCATCCGGAGTTTTTAGACATTCTAACACGAATATTAAACAATAAAACAGTATTTTATGTGAAATCAGTTACTTTGAAAAAATTTATCGACAAATTTGAACCCGATGAACTTGACATAATGATCAAAAATGCACCAGAGTATTTCACCATATATAGTTTATTTGATGCTTTATCTACCAAACAAATAACAGGAAATACCAGTCGTTTTGCTATTGAGCGATATATACGAGAAAAATGTAATTCACCTGATTTAAGAGAATTCTTTAGTAAAATTTTAGATAAAAAACTCAATATCAGCATAGCTTCAAAAACCATGAACAAAATTTTTGGCATCGACATAATTCCTTTGTTTTCTGTCGCATTAGGTCAAGAACTACCAGAATCTGATTTTGGCAAACTGTTTCCAGAGTCACAAGAATCATCTACTGAATGGTTTGTTTCACGAAAATATGATGGTGTAAGATGTATCGCTCAATATGATCCTCATTCAAAGAATGTAAGAATGTCCTCAAGACTTGGAAATCCTTTTACAACATTAAAAGTTCTCGAAGAAAGAATAAAATCTTTGATTAATGAAAGGAAAGGCATAATTTCAAAAGATCCAATATGGGAAAATGGATTAGTGTTGGATGGGGAAATATGTGTTTTTGATGAGGAAGGCAAAGATCGCGAAAAATTCCTTTCAGCATTAGAAGTGAGGAAAGTTAATGGTCATCAGATGAGAAATTTTCAGTATCTAGTGTTTGATTGTTTAACCGAACAAGAGTTTAAAGAAAAGCGTGGCACAAGAAATTATCAAGAACGTTTGCTTTTCTTAAAAAAATTGTTATCTGATGACAAGAAAGAAGATTCAGACATGATAGACATAATAGAACAGAATGTCGTGAAGAAACAAGATTTAGAAAAATGGTGGAAAAATGCAAAAGCGAAAAATTGGGAAGGATTAATGTTGCGTAAAAATGCCGGATATCAAGGCAAGCGAAGGTTAAAGATTTATATTTCTCGGGAATCAGATTTACTGTTTTATTGTTAATTTGCTTCAAATATCCTTTGCAGATTTATTTAAATTAGCATAATATTTTACCTCGTGTTAGTTCCGATCTCCTAAAAATCAAAGGAAGAAAAGATGCAGAATATACTGTGCTAGATGCTGAAATAGGGCCAATGAAGATTGACGGCGTGGAGTATAAAGATATTTTACGAAACGTTATTATTGAGCACCGTCACGGTATGCATTTCCTCCTTAAATTTATTATTGCAAATTAATTTTCTTGACCTTTTTTCTTTTGCTTGTATTTTATCATGAATTAGGAGACAAAATAAATAAAGTGCATGTCGGAAGTGGATTAACAAAAGAAGATCGCCTAAAATATAGGACTCCTGAATCTATTATTGGTAAAGAGGTAACAGTGGAATACACTGATGAATCCAAAACCCAAAAGAAAAATGGTGAAGGAGAATCCGAAACTGTGACTTCGTTGCGGTTTCCAAGGGTAAAAGCCATTTATGAGAAAAAACGGGATGTTTAGTATCAGGGATCTCAATAATCTAATTTGAAATAGCAGAGATCACTTGGTTTATAGGAAAAGCCAATTAATACAGGAAAAGGCAGCTTAGCATTAGTAAAAGTCAACTTTCTTTTAAGTTTTACATAAAGAAAAACTCTTGATTGAGCAATCAAATTAGAAAAAAAACTTCAAATATAAGTAAAAATTTTTATTTGAATTTGTTTGAAATAATAAAATTTCTTGTATAATTTAACAAATTATTAATTCATATTTTGATGCTTTATGAAAACTTAAAAATTAATTCAAATAGTATTATTTAATTCTGAATAGAATTTTAAACACATATAGTAACTTACAAGAAAATTAAATGTTTTAATAGTAAATTTTGAAAATAATAAATATATTTCTTTTAAAATGAAGAATAATTATAATTCAAAATAATTTAATATATATATTTTGAAAAGATATCAAGTCAAAAGTATTTTTAATTTAGTATCAAGCTTGCAAATCAGCTTGTATAAAGCTTATATTATATAAAAATTCTATTATATATTTTATTGAATAGTTATTTATTTAATAATTTAATTTAATTGCTTGTTTTACTAGTATCATATTGTTGTTTTTGCTATAATCAAATTGCTGGTTTAGCTAGAATTCCATTACTAGTATCATATTGCTATTTTTGCTATGATCAAATTGTTGGTTTAGCTAGAATTCCATTGCTAGTTTAGCTCAGATCATTTTGCTAACTTTGTTATAATTATATTGCTTGTTTTAACATCTAATATTAATAATAAAATCTCTTTTAACTAGTGTCCAATAAGATATTAATAAATATTATTCAATAATATTATAATATAAATTATTCAATATAATTAATATAATAAAAATTCATATCATAATAATATATTAAAAACTAGAAATATATAATTATATTCTAATATTATTACTATACATATTTTTGTATTCTTATAATACAGCATTTTATTAATATGATTATCTAATTAATTACTAATTAACAATTAGTAATTTGTCTAATCAATTACTATGAAAAAAAGATAAAATTAATTTTATTATATATATAATTATTACTATTAATATTCACTTCTAATTATTATTACAACTAGAATATTTTATAACATGATTATTTTATTAATAATTAATTATTTTTATTATATTTAATATTTTTAATAATTTAAATTTATTTAAATTAATTAATTATTATTATAAATTAAAATTAAAATAAAATAAAAATCTTTTTTTAGATTAATTATATTATTACAAGTTCTTGAACTCTAACAGATATTCTCATAATATAAATATTCAATCAATATTTATCTTCAAATTTATTATTGAATTCAATTTCATTACTTTAAATTGATATAATACATTTTATTAATAAACTATAATATTACTACTATTAGTAAATATATAAATAATTTTATAATAACATAGTATTAATATTCTATAATAACTTAATTAAATATTGTTGTAATTAGACATTTTTCATAATTACAAATAATTATTGTACATGATTACTCTACGTGATCATGCTGTTATGACTGAAAATTTATATAATTTCTATAATTTTCATAATTTTTATAATTTTCATAATTTACATAACTTCTATAACTTTTATAATTTTGATAATTATTATAATTATAATAATTATCATCATTTACAACAATTACCGTAATTAGTAAAAAATATTTATTATAAATAAAGCGTAATTGAAGTTTTGAAAAAAGACATCAATTAATTAATACAAAACTCTAACTAGTCAATAAACTGTTCCTTGTTTATTGTTAATAAAATTTGTATATTAATTGATTGAATAATAACTTATTAAAATACTTGCATTTATTACGCATTATTGGACAACTGCCAAAGTTGCTATAGAATATCAATACTATATTGCTATATAACTGTTTCACACTAAGTAGACATAACATCTATTAGTAATAGTGAGAGTCTATTTACAAGATAGAAGAAAATGCACTGTGTGATGATCTCAGAGTATACTTATTATGACAAGATTGAGTAACTATAAAATTTTTGTCATCAAACGTTAATTAAATATTTATGTTATGATAATATCTATCAGGAACCTAATTATAACAATACCAAATAATTATTCCAAATGATCATTTTAAGTAATCATTTCAACTAATTATTTCAAGTACTTCAAATAATTATTACAAATAATTATTTCAAGTAATTATTTCAAATATTCTAAATAATTATTTCAAATAATTATTTCATAATTATCAAATATTTATAAACACAATATGTATTTAGCTAGAAAAATAACAAGTTGAACAAGTAACAAGTTTGAGATAGTTGTTAATTTATTTTTTTAATAATTTTTTAGATAGTTTTTATATATAATCTTTTATCTTAATTGCAAAGTTACTATTATTATTTGATTTATAATCTCTTATCACTATTACAAAGTCATACCTTTAATAATATTTGTAATTGATCTCTTATTTATATTAGCAAAATCAACAATATATAATTGAATTAATAAAAAAATTATATTCAACTTGTTTATAAACTAACTTTTAAAAGAACATAATTATCTTTGAATATTTCTGATCTTATTCTAGTTAATTAACAAAATGAACATACTGTCACTATTTACTATTTTTTTTGATCACCTGATATGAGATATCATTAGATCTCGAGTAATATTTAATCAATTTCTATTTATAAATATTTATTTATCTATTTATTTATTTATTTTTAATTATTTTTTATTTATATCTAGTAATATTATAAATTACTAATTATTTTATTTATTTATTACACAATTTTTATTAATTATTAGTTATTATATTTTATTAGTTCTTGATTTCTAATTATTAATC